ACTATCTACCATTTCAGGCTGCACTATCTACCATTTCAGGCTGCACTATCTACCATTTCAGGCTGCACTATCTACCATATCAGGCTGCACTATCTACCATATCAGGCTGCATTATCTACCATTTCAGGCCGCACCATCTACCATTTCAGGCCGCACCATCTACCACTTCAGGCTGCACTATCTACCACTTCAGGCCACTCTATCTACCACTTCAGGCTGCACTATCTACCATTTCAGGCCACTCTATCTACCATTTCAGGCCGCACCATCTACCACTTCAGGCTGCACTATCTACCATTTCAGGCCGCACTATCTACCATTTCAGGCCCCACTATTTGCCATTTCAGGCCGCACTATCTACCACTTCAGGCCGCACTATCTACCATTTCAGGCCACTCTATCTACCATTTCAGGCTGCACTATCTACCATTTAAGGCTGCACTATCTACCATTTCAGGCCGCACCATCTACCACTTCAGGCTGCACTATCTACCATTTCAGGCCGCACTATCTACCATTTCAGGCCGCACCATCTACCACTTCAGGCCGCACTATCTACCATTTCAGGCCGCACTATCTACCATTTCAGGCCGCACTATCTACCAGTTCAGGCCGCACCATCTACCACTTCAGGCTGCACTATCTACCATTTCAGGCCGCACTATCTACCATTTCAGGCCCCACTATTTGCCATTTCAGGCCGCACTATCTACCACTTCAGGCCGCACTATCTACCATTTCAGGCCACTCTATCTACTATTTCAGGCTGCACTATCTACCATTTAAGGCTGCACTATCTACCATTTCAGGCCGCACCATCTACCACTTCAGGCTGCACCATCTACCACTTCAGGCTGCACTATCTACCATTTCAGGCCGCATTATCTACCATTTCAGGCCGCACTATCTACCATTTCAGGCCGCACCATCTACCACTTCAGGCCGCACTATCTACCATTTCAGGCCGCACTATCTACCATTTCAGGCCGCTCTATCTACCATTTCAGGGAGCACTATCTACCATTTCACTCAAGTCTTTCAACTTTTATTTCAGAACATCAAAGGTCTGGTTGCCACTGGAGTACCTTTGCCCTCAAGCGGCCGGGAAGTGTTATTGACTTTAAATCGATTTATGTCGAGAAGTAATGTACTTCTTAGACTCATTACGGTGACACTTGCTTCCTCGGGCCCGGCTTTGGAAAGAATCTAATTCTGCCTTCAGTTCGCATTACCCACTGTCTGAGAAAACAGCACTGGCCATGTACATTGCCGGATCGTAGAGAGGGGGGTGGATGTTGTTTTACGCCGCAGTCAGAAATATTCCTGCTATGTGAGTGAGTGAGTTGGGTATAACGCTGCTTTGAACTGTATTCCAGTTATATCTCTGCGTGTCAAAAATGTGTGTGTGTGTGGGGGGGGGGCGAAGTGATGCAGGTCTCGGACGTTTACCACTTCGGTGAACCCACGAGCAAGGGTATGGTGCTGCCAAAGCTAGAATCGGGGCGAACCGGGATTCGAACCCGCTATTATAGGTTTCCGGCGTGTCCAAGGGGCGCAATTCTTTGCACAGCGACTAATCAAATCTTGGCCATGCAAACGCTCGTGGTTGATAAGCATAGGCAACGATTCACGCCATGCGCAACGAGGACCAACATTCTGACATGTGGCAAATTGTAGGCACATCTATATTGATTCTTACTGAATCAACCCATGAAGATCCGGGGTAGAATTGGTCTTCAGCAACCCATGCTTTCCGTAAAAGGCGACAATGCTTGTCGACAAAGGGGATCGGGTGGTCAGATTTTCCACAGGTTCCCATCTCACTGGGACTCCTTTTCAGTTTGAATGTGGTGACTTGTTTCTATACAAGTCCTATATTTTCCGAGACAGTGTGGATACGTTATGGCCCGTGTTTGTTACAGCAGTGCAATGACCGCTGTGGTTCATCGTTGTACCAAGTGACCTTAGTTCTACGTTATGGCCCTTGTTTGTTACAGCAGTATAATGGCCGCTATGGTTCATAGTTGTACCAAGTGACCTTAGTTCTACGTTAAGGCCCTTGTTTGTTACAGCAGTATAATGGCCGCTATGGTTCATAGTTGTACCAAGTGACCTTAGTTCTACGTTAAGGCCCTTGTTTGTTACAGCAGTGTCATGACCGCTGTGGTTCATAGTTGTACCAAGTGACCTTTGCTCTACGTTAAGGCCTTTGTTTGTTACAGCAGTGTCATGACCGCTGTGGTTCATAGTTGTACCAAGTGACCTTTGCTCTACGTTAAGGCCTTTGTTTGTTACAGCAGTGTCATGACCGCTGTGGTTCATGATTGTACCAAGTGACCTTAGTTCTACAATGTTGTAAGTACATCTTATGGACGTGACGATAGTCTTAGCATTAAATGGGTTTGTGCAACCGGGCCTTGCAATTAGAGCACTTTGTGAAAATGATACTTTCTTTAAGGGACGGTGATCGTTAGGTTGAAGAGATCGAACACACGAGTACAGTGCCACTTGATTGAACTCATTCTGAGAACATGCAGCTACGTCAGTCCGAACACATGATTACAGTGACCTAGACTTACACCTAGTCTGTCACTGGCACCTAGACCTACCTTTAGTCTTTGAAAATATGTAATTTTGACACAAACAAGCAGCTAATTAAATTAAATTAAGCATTTATATAGCGCTACTTATCCAGATATACTCGCTGCTCAAGAGCGCCCAGTCGTATGCTCTTTTGAAGAGCATGGTCTTGAGTTTTGATCTGAAGGTGTTGACATCTTCAGATCCACTGACATCAATGGGCAGTGCATTCCATAGAGCTGCGCCTGCTTTTAGAGTAAATAAGAGTCACAGTGAGATGGGGGATTCAGAACCTGAACCTGAAAAATTTAGACTTGCTTCATTTATATCTATAAAAATACAGTAAAGTAATAAATGTTATGTTTGGGATAACTCTTTCTGAGTAACGAGATTCTAGTCATCGCTGACTTTATCTACTGGCGATTTATGTACTGCCTTACTCTGCCATTGTGGGTTCGAATCCCGGATGGGACTTTTGACCACTTTCTAAATAACAAAGTGTAATCAATACATTAACTGCCTTTCGGAAGGGAAAATAATATGGATCAGCGACTGTGAGACAGACTAAAGGGCACACGGTATCATTTGCTGGCACAGATTCTCCACAGGTCACAGTGAGTGACCCCTGACCCCTGGTACACTGACCCAGCAGATGCCGCCCCGGGCAGCAGCGAGCGAGTGTCAGCCTGTCCAGAAATTGTAGCAATGTAATTACAGTGGGCAGTCAATACTCTCCCCACCATCGCCAGCCAGTCGGGCCATTGTCTCATCCGTAATTAAACGACTTTCTATAACAGTACACCACTAATTGTTAAAAGGGCCGAACCAACCACATAGGAATCACGTGTAATCTAATCTCCTGGAATCTAGGTTAGTTAATCCAATTATATCTCTGATCGTGAGACATCGCTTGTTATTTAGCCTTGGTAATCTCATTTGGACGGTTGGTATAGGCAAAGCAAGGACATTTAAAATGAATTCATTTCTTTAGATTATTTGTATTTTGTTTGGTTGTTTGTTAGTTTACTTCACAGTCAGCATTATTGCAATTATAGCTAAGTGACCTGTGACCTGTAACTTAACGAGTTATACCAGTGACTGATATCAAGAACACCATCTCACGCCGTCGGGGTCCGATTGCACGGAATCAAGCGAGTGATCGAACCTAAAAAATCGATCTATCCATCGCCCCTTACGGTAAGCTTAGGTTACTGGGATTCATTAGATTGTAGGGGGCGGTGGGGTGGTCTTGTGGTTAAAGGGTTCGCTCGTCACGAAAAAGGTCCGGGTTTTGATTCTCCACGTGGGTACAATGTATGCAACCATCCACCGCCGTGTTTGGATGAACCTTTGGTAAAAGAGGTCAAAACCATACTCATAAGATAATTATTTAAATCAGCGATCTGTATCAACATCAATTATATTTGTTTGTTTGTTGTTTAACGCCGCACTCAGCAATATTACAGCCATATGATGGCGGTCTTGAAATGACCGAGTCTGGACCAGACAAGCCAGTGATTGGCAGCATGAGCAACGATCCATGCAATTGGGATATGATGACATGCATCAACCAATTTAGCGAGCCTGACCTGTAAGGCACCTCTTACGACAAGCATAGTTGCCTTTTACGGCATGCATGGGTTGCTGAAGACATATTCTACCCCGGACCTTCACGGGTGCAGCAATAAAAATGTAAGTAAGCTTCAAACAACCAACTGTTAATGTAGATTGGTTGTCCAAAATGGCTTCTGGTGTGTGCTATCTGGGAATGTAGCCTGGGTGATTGTGTGTCATTGTACCCCGACAGCGTGGACCGATTCCTCGTTATAGAACACTGATTTGACTTTTCCCGAACCGAACGTATTCCGCAAATGGATGGAAACCTAATTTACTCACCCGATCCCACACAAGCAGCGAAGGCTCCATGGCAACTTTGACGGTTGTAATAGTAGGTGAACATTAATCAAACCGTGAAAACGTTAGTCACATACATGACATAAACAATATTTATATCACCATGCCAACTTCCTAATATATAAGAGCTCCTTACAGGTCGTGGATTGTCCAGTCGTTGTAGGGGCTGCAATACACTGGGAAGAGTTTGTACATACCAGAATGTGATCGTGGGTTCGAATCTCTGAATCTAGGTTTGTAAGCACCATACCAGTGCTCGTTGGACTCTTTCGTCTAAGATCAATTTCATTTCGAGCTTTTACAGCTTTACCGGATGTTGACCCTCAGCTCTTTATAGACCGGATGTTGACCCTCAGCTCTACATGTGACCGGATGTGAACCCTCAGCTCTTCATGTGACCGGATGTTGACGCTCAGCTCTACATGTGACCTGATGTTAACCTCAGCTCTACATGTGACCGGATGTTGACCCTCAGCTTAACATGTGACCGGATATAAACCTCAGCTCTACATGTGACCGGATGTTAACCTCAGCTCTACATGTGACCGGATGTTGACCCTCAGCTCTTTATATGACCGGATATTGACCCTCAGCTCTTCTCTTGACCGGATGTTTACCCTTAGCTCTTTATATGACCGGACGTTGACCCTCAGCTCTTCATGTGACCGGATGTTGACCCCCAGCTCTACATGTGGCCGGATGTTGACCCTCAGCTCTTCATGTGGCCGGATGTTGACCCTCAGCTCTTCATGTGGCCGGATGTTGACCCTCAGCTCTACATGTGACCGGATTTTTTACCCTCAGCGCTCATGACCGGATGTTGACCCCCAGCTCTACATGTGGCCGGATGTTGACCCTCAGCTCTTCATGTGGCCGGATGTTGACCCTCAGCTCTTCATGTGGCCGGATGTTGACCCTCAGCTCTTCATGTGGCCGGATGTTGACCCTCAGCTCTTCATGTGGCCGGATGTTGACCCTCAGCTCTTCATGTGGCCGGATGTTGACCCTCAGCTCTTCATGTGGCCGGATGTTGACCCTCAGCTCTTCATGTGACCGGATGTTGACCCCCAGCTCTACATGTGGCCGGATGTTGACCCTCAGCTCTTCATGTGGCCGGATGTTGACCCTCAGCTCTTCATGTGGCCGGATGTTGACCCTCAGCTCTACATGTGACCGGATTTTTTACCCTCAGCGCTCATGACCGGATGTTGACCCTCAGCTCTACATGTGACCGGATTTTTTACCCTCAGCGCTCATGACCGGATGTTGACCCTCAGCTCTACATGTGACCGGATGTTGACCCTCAGCTCTACATGTGACCGGATGTTGACCCTCAGCTTTACATGTGACCGGATGTTGACCCTCAGCGCTCATGACCGGATGTTGACCCTCAGCTCTACATGTGACCGGATGTTGACCCTCAGCTCTAAAAGTGACTGTCACGTGTACAACTGATACTTGCTCTCTTTGTATCAATCACCCGGCAAGCATGCCTGCAGATCATCTACAGGTCAACATGGTGTTGGTGGTCTAGTGGTAGAGCGTCCGCCCGGAGAGCAGAAGGTCCGGGGTTCGATCCCAGGCCGCGTCATACCAAAAGACGTTAAAGGATGGTACTTGTTGTTACCCTGTCTGGCGCTCGGCATTAAGGGGCTAAAACAAGGACTGATCGGCTCGGAGTCAGTATACTGTGTCTGAGCGGGGTATTCATATTAAACTGCGTCATGGTATATCAGTGTGTTAGCACTATAAATCGGCATCAGTCCGGACCAGCACAAGCAGCCACACACACACATACACACATACACGTCCATGCACGTCGCTATATAAGTGCAATAATCTTGGACGCGACGTTAAACCCCATTTCACCTCACCTCATGTCATCATTTGCGACTTTGGCTCGTCGTAAGAGGCGACTAACGGGATCGGGTGGTCAGGTTCGCTGACCTGGTTGTTGCATGTCATCGTATCCCAATTGCGAAAACGATGCTCATGGTATCAATCACTGGATTGTCTGTTCCAGATTCGATTATTTACAAACCGCCGTCATATAGCTGGAATATTGCTGAGTGAGACGTTGATCAACAAGCAAAAACAAGACATCATTATTTCCTTCAACTACATGTACCGACGTTTCTTTTTTCACTCGACATTATCCTTGATATTACAGAATGTGATTTCTGCGGCTTCAAAGATTGGGCTATTATTGATTCCCAGCCGAACACAATATTAAACTCATATTTATTGACAGCCACAGTTAATCAAAAGAAAATTCTAAGATACCAAAAAAATGAAAATATCATGTCAAAATTGAAAAGAATTTCACGCAATATCCTGATTGACATATTAGTTACTTTTTCAAAAAACTATTAAAAAAGACCTAATAATCAAACCACGAAGGATGTTACGAAGATATCCGCAGCAGATCTTTTAAAAAAATAGTCCCAAACTAATTTCCTCTTCCTGTTTGTATTTCAACGCCGGCGGATGAATTGCTAGAAGTCAGCCCTATGCCAGATGTCACAGGACACCATCGAGTCACGGACCCTGGGGGGGGGTGGGGGGGGGGGGGGGGGCGTATTTATCACCATGGACGACAAAATAAATTTAGGGGGAATCCGTGAGTTTGTCGCACTTTTTTTCTCAAACAAATCGTCAAGAGGTTTGCCGAGTTTCTTGCACCAACCCTTGGCGGTCGATATGCAGGCAGACGAACATGTCAACGTGATTCCACCGCGGTTGTAGCTGCGTCCGTGTCACCCCGACCCCCATCGTCATCCTGTGACACGACGACACGACGACACAGGTTGGGTCAATATTTTGTTATTTCGAAGGTCATGTTGTTGATTTTCTGAAAATAAAGCTTGTTTTGGATGGCAGCGGGCAAGCAGATTCTCTCTCGTCCTGTTTAGGCGACGTCGTGACGAAGTTTTGAAAAACCTAAGACGAAGGTTTTCTTCCATTCACAAGTTGGTGTCACTGATCCGGGCGTCCCAGGCCTCTACATAACTCGACATGCTCTAGTTTCGTCAGTTAGAAAAAAAATATTTCAAAACAACACATGGCCTCCAGGGCATGTTGTGGGGGTCTATTTGATCCCCCGTATTGTTGATTAAGTCCTATATAGTCAACTTTACGAAGGCAGCGCAAATGTTCCTGTTAAAAATGGGAAATAGTTTGCCACTGCTTGATCCAGCATGATTGATTTTCTGCACCAGACAAGTGTCAGTCACACACTGTGGTCTGTCTTTCAACTCTTGCTCCGAAGTTGTTTGATCAAGGTTACAACATTCAAGACCTCAGTGAAGCTTTCCAAAGGTTTTATGGTAACATGTGGTGGGCATTTAGTGACTAAAATGATGTCCAATGCAATTCCCTATTTTGACTTGTACCATAACTTCCCGTGCTTTTTAAGGTGAAGATTTGACTTGTCTTTGCATGTGTTTGTGACGAGTGCCACCGGTGGGGCAGGATGCACTCACATTTTCGCGCACACCTGGTATCATTACTATTTGATAGTGATTCATAAACACATGCTCATGATATAGTCGGAATCATAAATCGACTCTGCTTTTGGTTCAGATTTCTATTGGATATGGAAGGGGTTTTGTCGCTTTATTAATTGTAAATACAGTTGGAGATAAACTCTCCTGTTGGCCACAACAGGACAATACTGTATATCGTCTGATCTGAAATGATAAAAGAATCGATTTTAAGAAATTCATTACGGAAAATATTCCCTAGGTCACTGTAGTAGGTTAAACTGAAGAAGTCCGTGTGATATCATCCTTGGAAGACAACTATCACGAAGTCAATTCCAGAGATTGTTGTGTTCTAGTGCATCTCAACTTTTGGCCCTCCTAAAACTCTAAAGAAAGTATGAATTGCAACAATGGACAACTAAGGGGTAGTTTGTCTGTTTAGTTGTTGTTTAACGCCGCACTCAGCAATATTCCAGCTATATGACGACGGTCTGTAAATAATCGAGTCTGGACCAGACAATCCAGTGATTGACATCATGAGCATCGATCCACGATCCGAAGGTAGTGCTTCCCCCTATCATACTCCCAGAGCAGTAAGTGTTATAGGAAGGTGTTGCATCTTACTTGTTTGAGTTGTTTGACGAATTTACACATCTCCCCGAGTGTCTTGTAATATCAAAAATACACAAACTCAAGTTAATACAATTCATAAAATCTCGGCCGTATCGGATTTTGTGTTTTTTATAGACTTGTGGATTCAATACGACACGAACGGTGTCTTTTTAATCTATTACCCACGTTATTTTATGGGAAGAAAACCTTTTACGAGCATATATTTAGAGCGGATTAATAGGTTATACGTTTATGATTGGGCACAGACGATGTTTATATAAAATTCAATACTTAGCACAACAATCTCGAGTTATTTTATCTAATTGACGGACGCAGTCTGTAATATAATCCTTGCTAATTAACCTATCAAAGCGAACAGCAAACGAAACAGCAAAATCAATATTTAGAAGAAAAAGATCGACTAGATATTAAAAAACACACCGCGATGAATCTAGTGTTACATGATAGAAAAGAATATTGGCAATTGTTTGTTTTTTTGTTGGGTTTTTGGCTTGGGAAGTAAGTAGGTTATTTAACCCTGTCAAAAGTGGATATTGCTTGATGTAGACACTCTGACAATCAGCTCCATCTTTGGGACGAACTGATGCTCTCATTAATGTCAGGGGCTTTCAATATGTACATTTCATTACAATATACGAGTCTGAATGATAACTGAATTTAACATATTTTTTTATTTCATCTTTTCAATATTGAAACTGCGACTAAGGGACATGATTTAAGAAGTAAACTGACCCTGCAGCGATGTGGAGACTTATGATCAGCTGCTTCAAATTAATAAAGGGAAATGTATTTAAGTCGAGTGCTCCACAACCCGGAAGTGGGTGGGAGAAGGTTCAACCGCTGCACAGAAACGAGAACGCTCCGAGTAGGATCCCTGACGTCATCGTTCCGCCACAACGTGGAACAGCGTATATACCCAGAGTTCCATGCGGTCACCCTCTGCCACAGGCCAGCGTGATTCACGGTCCATTCAACAAATAACATGTGTTCCATTATTTTATTAATGAAAAGTCTACACGCTGACAAACATATGTCAGGAATGATTAAGTTTCATTGAAAAATTCTTGAAATGTGAAACTTTTTTTTCCATTTGTGTATTTAGCACATTGGTTGTACGACACGTGCTGTCATCGACGCCCTACGGGAGAGGTAATGGTACGGTTACTTTAATTTAGAGTGAGTGAGTGAGTATGGTTTAACGCCGCTTTTAGCAATATTTCAGCAATATCACAGCGGGGGACACCAGAAATGGGCTTCACACATTGTACCCATGTCGGGAATTGAACCCGGGTCTTCGGCGTGACGAGCGAACGCTTTAACCACAAGGCTACCCGACCGCCCCCTATAATTTATAAAAAAAGGTATGGTGCCATATAAAGTCCTCACTGCAGCAGTTGTAGATGCATGTCTATAAAAGTATGCAAAACATGAAAAACGCACTGAAAGGCTTTTTATTAAACCTAACTGCTCTGATATCCGATGAGCAGCGTTTGTTTACGAAAGAGGAAAGTCACGTGATATGCAAATTAGCTTGTGGCAATGGCGAAATGCGAAGTCATCACTGCGCCGGAGCCTGTGTGTGCGAGCGAATGTCAGGGTGCGATCTCTTTGACATTGAATCAGTTGGCGCTATCTCCCGAGAACATTGGACTATCATATGTCAAAACAACGGGGTTTCCTGCAGTTATTTCTAAAAGCCACATGCCAAGTACCTGTTGCGCCAAAGTACCATGTGTCGCATATGCTACCCAGTACAAACCGGTTGAGCTTTCACGCAAATATCGCGAGATATGTTTGGCACATGGCGAGATCTCATCAAAAGCGCTTCAGATAATCCTTGGTTTGGTGGAATGTTACAACGACTCCAAGTCTCACATGTAACGGAAAATGGTCTGCAGGAAACCTGGATCTGACGTCAAAGGGAGGGGGAGAGGAGTAGTGTTGAAACTGTTTGATGTCACGGCGTGTCTGTGCTTTTACTAAAGGTAATGAGGCATCGCTTGTAGTGCAGCGGTGATAATGACGTCAGCGTGAAGGGAGGTGACAGA